GTTGAATCTGCTCAAAGCCCAAACTGAAATGACTCAAATCTGTGACTTGGGAAATACTGTCAAAAAGAGACATTTATTTTGATTTGTAGCCTCTAGTTTCCTTTCTTTTCTTTCTTCTAAGCAAAAACTCACTCTGGAGAAGAGAAAGGAAATGGAGCAGAGAGAACTCTGTGGATATACACTTTTCTCTATTGTGGATGGAAAACAGGATGTGATATTTAATTGAAAACTAAAAACCAAGAAGAAACAGGTAGTGCTCCGGAGGAGAGAGTGATGATGACAACCAGACACATTAAAGAGCATCAGTTACAGCCTAATAGCTATTCTCACATCTGTGTCTTTCACTACAAGTTCTGACTGTATCCTCCCTTTCTGTGTGTTGGGCGGTTGGAGAGTTGGCCTAAGAGGAAGTGAAATGACGTTTTTGGAACCCCTCCTATTGTCACAGGTGCTCTGCTCTTAGGGTTCTACTGAATCTCTACAAGTCGTGAGAAATGGCATGTGAACTTCACTTATAGCTGAGAAAGCTGCTCCAGAGGACTAATGTATTCACCCGAGGTCACATGCAAGTAAATGCTTGACATTAGACGTTAACCTTAGGCTTGCCTCCGTCAGAGGGACTGGATTCCTTCTACTGCACCAAGCAATTTCCTTTTCACATCAAGAATTCACTTTGGCCGTTTATATATAAAAGAGAGAAATATCTTTCTAATTCCCTTCCTTTTTATCCTGCCATGCATTCTATATGTTTAATACTAAACTAAAATAAGGCAAAATCCTTCTGTTGTTCTTTCTGCTTGGAAAAATCACAGCTTTCTCTCTGAGCCTAAAAATGAGCCCTTATGCTATTTGTTGTGTCTTTTCCCATCCTCCATGTTTTTTGTCCCTCCTTTCTGGTCTTCTTTTGGTTTGAGCATTATTTATTATTCTAATGATTTAATGATCATATAGGCCACTGGCTATCTCCTACTTTGGATTTTTAACTAAATCTTTTTTTAGTGGTTGCCCTAGATTACAGTGTGTATCCTTAACTTATCAGTGGAGTCTAGATAATATATTATTCATTAGATTATATTATTACATAATAATATATATT